ACTGGGTCAAAATGTACCTGGAGACCCGCACTGCCCACCAACAGGACTTCCATCTTATCTGGATTGAAGCTCAGTTTATTGGCCCTCATCCAGCCTATTACCTTGGCCAGGCACCCGTTCAGTACAGCCACGGCCTCACCTGGAGCATATGTAAATGAGAGGTAGTGAAACGGCAGTGAAAAGCATGGAAACCCAATACGTGCATTTGGGTTTCTATTCTTCTTACTGGTCCACTTCTGTTTCTTTAATATTAGTTTGAGGTGCAGAAATCAGAAGATGAAGCTGTTCACTGAACGTAAACAACTGTTCTCACTGTCCTGGTATTATTGTCCATCAACCTGCTCTAAAGCGCATGGGAACAAAAACCTGTGAATAAGTTGGCAACCTTAAACGCTCTCAGCAAAACGAGCTTTTCTTGCCTTTAACTGTTCAAAGAAAGGAGCTTGAGGTTCTTCTCAGGGAAAGTGCAGCAAGGCCACCCGCCTCGGCGAGAACGCAAAGAGCAGCGTGAATGAGAACCTCCCCTACAAACATCTTCCCGCCTTTGGGCTCCAAAAGGCACGTGAAAAACTGAGCGCAGGGTCGCCACTCCGCCCCAGGGAACGGGTCCGCCAGTGAGCAGGGCTCGCCACCGCAGTCGCTCTTGGACGAACGGCAGAAAATAATTCTCAAGTCCCTTGGGAAAAGAACTGTCAAAGTGGCTCACCTTCTCCGGGAAGTGGGGAGGGCCCTTCGCACTGCCAAACTCCTTTCGCAGTAGCTGCCTACCATTCCGCAGAAGCGGCTGTAAATAAACCCCCGTCCGGGCCTGGCTGCACCGGCTTCCCACCTTAATGAACAGAGAAAGGCAGAAGACTCCCGCTTTGCCCTCCGTGCCGCAGAGCTCTACTGAAGGGGGAGGGAAGCGCCGTCGCTCGGCTGGCTGAGGACAGGCGACTGGTCCGGCTCACAACGCCCTACTGGGCGGGAAAAAGCTCCGAGAAGTGAAGGGTTTAAAAGTTGTAGCAAGACGACATTGCGGAGGAGGTACGCCCCCATCTTCCTTCGACGCAACTACCTAACAAAGAAGCAGGGTCGAAGTTTCTAGATCGAGAGCCATTTCCTTGGCTATGGAGAAACAAAGTTAGAGAGGGAAAGGAGCATTTCCCTGGAAAAGAGAAACTAGTAGCTGTGGTTTTTACTAGTTTCGGAATACTTCCTGCTCCAACAGGAAGAAGCGAAAAACTAGGCCTTTTAGGCATCAGTTCTCCTATATTCCATTTTTGATCCTATGCATGTGTACACAAGAAAGCCCTATTTAGTTCAATGGGGGTTATGCCCAGGTACGGTGCAATACTGAACGCACTTGTTAGAGAGTAAACTCTGTTGAACTCAATGGGAGTTACTTTTGAGGAAAAGTAATTAGGATTGCACTAAATTTAAATGAAATGTGGAGTGTTCACATCTACCCCACTCAAACAGCAGGGCAAACAAAGGCAGAATATAAATGCAATGTGATAATTGACAGTAAAAACAGTCTTGCAGCACCTTAAGGGCTAACATACTTAGTGTGGCATAAACGTTAATTGATTACAGTCCACTTCAGCAGATGCATGAAGTATTATCCTCAGCTGGCAGACAGATCCTGTCACAACCACAGGAGTATAGAGAAATAGTGTAAACAATGGAATGAAATAATAATAATATAGGAGAGGTACACATTCTATGTAAAGCCAAAACATGCAAAATAAGTACAGTGACAATTCATAAGCGTCATAATCTTCATTGCTTGCTGTGCTAATGCAATAGTTGTTGTGGAAGAGGGAATAATTTTCCTAATTTAGATCTAAATGAATAGAATTAATCTTATGGATGAAATCTACGTCAAACATATATTGAAGTTCCCCTATTGAAGAATACTGGCTTTCATGTCAACACCAGAGTGTTCTTCTCTACTGTCTACACTTATTCTCTGTGAAGAATAAACTGTTAACCAATGTATCTATATCTGCCAAAGGACATCTGGAACAAGTGTGTGTTAGGAGAATAGGTGTAAATACACCAGTAAGTAGTGATGTTACATAATTCCAGAAAGGAAAGTTCTGCGTGTGAGCAAAATAAAGTCTTCTTGATCTTGTACAGCATATACATAAGGGATGAAGGAAAGTTCCCAAAATACAGAATTTGAGTAAAAGCTTAATATTTTTGGTTACGAATTCACATTTCTAAGAAAGCTCATTCCGAGGCACCTTTCATAGAAGAAACTTATTTAAGCACCGAGCTTACACCAACTACTGGTACAATCCAAGCTTTTTTTTTTGTACTAAGGAGATCTTGAAAAATTTCACATGTTTGTGCTTTCTTTGGTTGGCCTAATAAAGGTATTACACTAATGTGATTTCCAGAAATTCTCAGTCAACACACCTACCGTTGCTGTTGTTGCTTTGCTGTACAATTACTTTCCCAAAATTGGTACATATTCAGGAAACTAGAAAGGACAGAAACTTGTTCAGTTGTTTAGGATGCAATCTTACACATTTGACAGAATTAAGCCCTACAATTCCCAGTATCCCCCAGCCAGCCATGGTATCTGGGTAATACTGGGAATTGTAGAATTCTTCTTTAAATATTCATAACTTCACACCCTAACCCCTTAATATTTTGGGAGGGGAGGCATTAAGATCTTCCATCTCAGGTGCACAGGCAAAATGTATTCAGTTACCTGTGTTCAAAGGTGGAACATGCAGCTGCAAAGATAGTAACAACATTAACTTCAAATTGTCTGTATATACAAAGTTAATTATTTTTAACATGGCAACAAGAGTTTTGTGTAACACACAATCCAATCAGATATTAGTCATGCAGATATTCAATATTATGAGTGGAGCTGGGTGAATAATTGCCACTATTGGCCACATGCTTCAGCACTTTCAATCTGAATGAATTAACAGCAGGAGCATTATAAACTTAGATGTAGATCACCTTGTGATACACTACAGTCTATCTGGTATACTAATCAAGCAGTTAACTATACACAGATACAGTTATATACTTGAATTATGGGGGTAAGAGTTGCTTTAATGAGATCTGAAAGCTTGATGCCCTGACTCCCCTCCCCCATTTTATCTAAATTATTATTTCATCCATTTTTCCCCTCTCAGTGGCCTTATAAAAGTGTTCTATGTATGCACATGCATGAATGTGTGAGAGACCGAGAGATGCCTTTTCCCTGCACCTTGTAATTCAGGCACTGGTATGTCCCCTGTAAACTTTATTTTCTGTATGTGGATAACTAGCAGACTGGCAGAGAGGAGGCAAAACCACCAGATTCAGTCATTCACACAAACAATGAATGCCTGCACAAGGTTTTCAGTGTTGCAGGTAGTTCTTTCGTTAGAAAAATGCCTCTAATGGAGTTGTAACAGCAGACTTACCTACACATCCTTCAAAGAATTTCTAAGAATTTACTCATTCCATACTTACCTTGAGACTACAGGTAGCAGTTTGGCTTCAGGCTGATTTATCTATTTGTACCAGCTAGTATCTTTGTGTTTTTCCTTGAACACCAAGTAACAGGAACATTTCTGTGCAATTTTAACAAAGTTTGACATTCCATTGTGAATCTTGCTACTATGGGCCACAGGATTACCTGATTTGACTTAAAATTAAACTGCACAGATAACCTAAATGGAAAGCGCACCTTTCATCAGCAGGAGATAGTTCTAACAACAGTCATACCAAAAGAACTCACCCCAAGCTGTGTTCAGAGTCATCACAGAACACAGGAAAAGGTTAAAGTACTCATTATTATGGTGCCAGAGAACAATTCCACATCTGCTAAAAGGTGGCAAAAGTTTATCCATTCACAAGAATACATGAGACTTAGAGGGCCCTGAGCATTTATTCATATTAGTTGAATTCACTCTGAAATAAGTTGTCTTTTTCTGACATTGGCTTATTATTATTACATTTCTATACCGCCCATAGCTCAAGCTCTCTGGAAAGTTTACAGCAATAATCATAGAATCATATACTCAAGTCACCCATCCAGATTGTAACCAGGCCTGATCCTGCTTACCTTCCAAGATTAGACAGGATCAGGCACTTGAAGCTATACAGAAGCTATATTGACTTAGATCATAGCTCCGGAAAAAAGGTGTTCCAAAGGACTTCTTTCCTTAACCTAATACTTGGCCAAGGTCGAAGACACTCCATTCAGTGCTAACCCTAGGGAGAGCACCAAAATTAAGTTCAGATCCCTGACCCACTTACTACTGCACCCTCCATGTATAAAATAGAAGACACAGACACACTGGAAAAGAAAGACAGCGTTCCTTTCTTCAAGTTATGCACCTGCAAGTTGGTGGTGGCGATATGTGATTGCACAGCAGCAGGTCACGCAGCTACACAGCACATCCTCCAAACATTCCTTTTTATTCCATCCTGTCTGAAGTCCGCGCGCGCCCACACCCCTTCCCGGGCAGACAGCTGCGATCCTGTGCACACACAGGGACACTGCGAGGCTCAGTTTCCAGTAAGATTGCGCAGAACTGAGCTGCGTATCTGTAACCTTCGGTCATCTGGACAACCAATCATCTCTTCTAGCTTACAACGCATCTCGTTTGTGCGGAACACTACGAGAGACACTATGTTTTGTCCATCCTTATCTATAAAAATCCATTCTTCTAAGGTTTCAATCCCGGCATCTCTCCTCCCTGCTAGAAAAAAGTGTCAGGAATACTTCTGAAAAGGTTCCGTTGTGTATCTCGCAATTCACTACTTTTACCTTCTAGATCATACCAAGGATATTTCAAAGCGGATCGCTTAAAATCTGAGGGTCTCCCCCACCCCCGCCGTAATAAGCACGGTTATTTCTGTCACTCAGGCTCAATGCGTAGGTATTTCTGCTTCAAATACAAATCGACAATTGGAGAAAGGGAAGAATCTGGGTTTGTTTGCTTCGTTAAACAGAAAAGGCGGTTTTATTCTGCACAGAACTTCTCACATTATCTTTGTCTTACCTCCGAGGCACAGGAAGCTGCTTGCCTTTAAGTGGTAATTCCAAGTGCGTCCTTCTGAAGAAGCGATGGCTTCTTCACATCTTTGGAGCCAAGATACTGATCCCAAGCCATTGCGTCCTCGCTCGCATCCGTGCACACCTCGCTCAGCAGCAAAAGAGGATAATCTGCTGCCCTTGCTGCTTCTGAACGAGTTGGCTGTAAGCAAAAGAGGCGAGCCGTGTGTAGAGCGAGTCCCCCGCTGCTGCCTCACTACATTGGAATGTCTGAGCTAAGGGCTCAATAACCGAACTGAGCTGCAGCAGCAGCGCTCAAAACTTGTGGAGCTCTTAATTCAGTTCCGAGCCTTGCCAGCAGTTTTACACAAGGTGCCTTTTTTGCACCCTGCTTTCTCTGTCGAGTGAAAAAATGCAGGCTATCGCAGTGGAAACAATGGCTCGATTCAAGACTTTGTTCAGAAGTAGAGCACACAACCTCTGCATTGTACACTGCTGCCAACTAACTATGGGAAGAAAGGCAGTTAACTAAAAGGGCTTTTTGGGGGGGCAGAGGGGGGAGTTTGTGAAGTTTCCATCTGCTTAATGGAAACTACCATTTGACAGAACTAGGCATCTTTGCATTCAAACTATTCCTCTCATTCCCCAAAAGTGAAAGGAGAAAGGGGGAAAAGCTATCTTGTAAATATTTCTTGGAACCTGAATGAGAGGCAAAAGTTGGCTGCAGGCATAAGTAATTTTATTCTGGACTTGCATATAAAAAACAGCAATTCTCATAATTATGGCATGTTGGAAACCATATTCCAGTTGTGGGCTGTAAAACTTACAGTTAATTTACTGTATTCCCTTCCAGTATCAGGAACACGTCATCACCAAAGGAGGACTAAAGAAAAATCTGAATTTTTGAGGTTCACATTTTACTCTATACATTAGCTATATACAGAAAAATGTACTCATATCCTATGCACTATTTCTTTATTCAAAAGCCATCTAAGTATCTCTCTTATGGTATATTCTATACTATCAGTCGGATGAGGTTTTCTGTCTTGTGAAGCCATGTGATTTCTGATGCATTGGGAGTAACTGCAACATGTTGTACATGCTGGTAGTTGGTAGCAGGGCCGTCTTAACAGCATTATGGGCCCCGGGCAAAGCAGTGTACTGGGCCCCCTACAACAACTACGCACAGGAATAAAGATGTAAAAATGAAGGGTTAACATACACAGATTATTATGGGGCCCACGGGCAAGTGTCCATCAGGCCCATGCGTCAAGACGGCCCTGGTTGGTAGTTTTCTATTAGTGATATGGCAAAACCATTTACAAGTTAATATAACATTTAAGGAAGGGGGAATAAAAGGCCAAATGCAGCCATTGAAATGGTTTAAAGTTTTGTTGACTTAAGCACATGCTTAACTCTTCCTGGTGGGTCATGACAGTAGAGGCCCTTTTTCCTCCAAAGTACTGCTGTGCTGGTATCCCTGTCCTCTACCTCTGCCTTCCAGGCAATTCTGCTCTGTGTTCACACATTAATGAATACACTGTAGTATCCACTGTGTTTATAACATGGCCAAGTGTCACACAATAATGCACAGTGTTATAATTGCAGGAGAAGTAGGTGACGTTTGCAGGTATTTTATTTATGTATGCCACAAACCACAATAATACGGGTATATTTGCAACAGAAGTAGATTCCTTAAAAAAAGTCTGGGAAATGTATCACAACTGTATAGCAAAGCAGGGTCAATTTTTTGTGTAATTTGGTTATTTACAGCTGCCTAGCTGTATAGCTGCACACTGAATATTTGCCTCAGCCAAAAAAATGCTGACCAATGATCCCAAAGGAGAAGACATGGAGAATTGGAGATTTCATGCCTACAGATCTCATCTCCTCACTCATAGTCAACCATGGTGAAAAGGTAAAGGTGAGGGAAATGCTGCAAAGCAGATTCTACTTTGAAGTTACTCCCACCAGTAAGAGCTATTATACCACCATACAGAAACAGCAATCACAAGAAAAAATAAATGGAATTACTTGTATATTTACCTGAAGAGTGATGCTGTATGTCCTTTTCCTGTTGCTTTTGTTAATATTAGTAGTTTACAACATAGTCTTATGCATGCATATGGAAATAAGCCCTGCTGAGTTCAATGGGGCTTATTCCCATGCGTGCATAGGATTGCAGATTTTATTTCTGATGCTATGGCTTGATTGGGCTATGATTCTGACTTCTTACATTTTTGCATACCACTGTGCTATTTCTAGTGGGACTGATGCTTTCCATTTCTGTACAAGAGACACTCTGGCAGCTGTCAGCAAGAGGATAGCTAGCATGCTTAAGGCAGCATGTTTGCTATGTTCCTTCAAGCATTTTTGCAGCATCAGTTTGGGATCTCACGTTATCAACACTGTATCTTTATTCTTGAATTTGGAATTCTTTCTTTGTTTTCAAATTCTTTAATTAGCAAGCTTTCGAATTACATACAATAGTATTTCCCTGTGGTGAACCACCTCTTTAGGAGATAATAGTTTGATTTATATATATGCTTGGCTGGGTTCACATAGTAGTGGCAGTTCATTTTGACTAATTCTTTTAGGGTGCAATCCTGTGCATGTTTACACTGAAAAAAAGTTCTACAATTGCCAGCATGTCTCAGCCAGCCATGCTAACTAAACATGAACAAGAATGCACCCTTAATGGTGGTATATAATTGGGATAATTGGCAGCATGCAAGTGAAAAAATAAATAAATATAATAAAATTGCTATGCCCTTTTCTATTTGTGCACCTAATCTATGCTGCTAGTTTTCATCTGGTGTCTAAAAGCAGATTGCAGTAGCTATCATGATGCTGACTTAAAAATAAAAAGAGGAAGATAGGCAGAGAAAAAGAAGGCAGAGAAAGACAAAATATAGTTTTAAAAAGTACTGCTGGAAATTAAGGATGGACAATATGTCTGAAATAGCAGTATACTGGCCATGACCTGTTAAAACTACTTATCCCTGAGTTCTAAGTTAAACTCTTAAGTTCTGAGTCCAAATGAATGGAAGAAAGCAGTTAGACTAACCTAAGACCCACTGTTCTATTTGTATACATATCCCATTGTAAGGAGTATGTAAAATCCAATTGTCAGAAGTAAAAATTGATCCCAGTAGTGATGATACGGAGGCAAAGTACCAAGCAGGATAGTTTAATTCATTCTTGCAAGAGCGGGCACCCACCACACAGGTAGCGCACCGTTTCCACACAAAACATTGTCTCTTATCCCCTTTTCCCAGCTCGCAGGCCCTTCCTCTTTTCCCCCATTGGCTGGGCTACTCAGAAGGTACAGTCTTCTCTGTCCACCTACATCATACGACTCCTTGACATGCTCCCCCTCCCGCACATACATCCCATGTTCATGCTAATGAGCCCATTACCTATGAGAGGTGTGTCAGTTACTATTCATGCACCTATTAAGCATGTGTACTTTCTTCTAAAAGTTCAACAAGTCAAAGTGGCCTTGAGAATTCCAATTTGAGCCAGCTGGCTTCTTAAATCTTGTGGGAGGATGAGATAGTAAGAGCAGACCTTTCTTCAGGCCTTTTACTGCCAGTTACAAAATGTAATTAATTGCCTGCTCTCTTCCACTGAAGGTGACAGTTTTACCACTGTCCCCCAATTTTACCCCCTCTGGCATTTTTCAGGACTTTGATGTAAGAAGCACTACTTCCCTTAGTACAGCTATTTACATGATTCGATTCTCAGGCCTTTTGGCCTTAAGAGACTTTAATTAACCCTGTCCTAGCCCTGTATTTCACCTTAACACTTAGTAACAATAACATTTCATTTCTCACAATCCACCCTTTTTCTTTTTTTAACACTTACTGTTACTAACTTAAAATTGTTCTCCAGAAATTCCTCCAGCAGAGTTTGCTGTGGGGAGGATTTTCTACCTTTTACTACCTTTAATGTCATATCCTTTCCCCATGTTGGTTTATCCTTGGCATTGTGGTTACCCGAATAGATTCCACCGTCCGTTGGACAATCTGTGTGATCAGAGATATGAAGCATGGCAGGAGTAGTAGTCCAGCTACAGCCATCAATAGGAACCCCCCATTTTGACAGACCCCCACCAAACAATTGTCCCCACCATGAGGTATCTATGACCCCATTCCAAGTTTGTACAGGGACATAGGCTATTTTCCTCATTCTGGCAGTTATTTCTTCAATAGCTTTCGCTGGATTATTTATTATTATTTATTATTATTTATTTATTAAAACATTTCTATTATCTATCTGGAGACAGCAGTTGGTTAAGCTGAATTTCCCACATACTCCCCCATCCTTTGCTAACAGGTAGTCCAATGCCAATCTATTCTGATATACTGCAGTTCGCAACTGGGTGTTTTGTTTAGCCAATAGACTGAGTGCTACCAACTGTCTCATTGGTGATTATTTCTAGCACCACTTGCAACCTAATTATACGATTTAACATATATATTGGGGTTCTATACCCCCAACTCTCATCTTCAGCCCATATAGCTGGTCCATAATACTGAATTATCCTTTCTGGTGGCCATTCATTGTCTTTCCAATTCCCTATAACTACCTTTGCTGCCCGCTTAGACCTTAGTAGTCCCACCTCATCATACACAGGGACGCCTAGGCGTTTTCCCTGTGGAATAGGCAATAGAAAGAAGCTGGGCCTCACTGTCCCCAACACACATGCTCCAGTCCATCTCTTCGGCAACTGGGTGTAAGCAAACTTCCCACAGATCCAGTATAACCCATCTGGAGCCTTCCAGTCCAAGTTGACATTCCCCACTTCTTTCCATAGTCCCTTCAACTGAGCTATTTTCTCAAAGGGGTTATTTGGTTAAGTTCTCTCCACTCCACCAATAAGACCGAGGGGCAGAACTACTATTGCTGAACATCTGATTACTGCACACCAAAGTCCCCACTGTCTGGTTGAATTCAGTTCCGGATCGTGTAAAACACAAATGTCCAATAATAGAAATCTTAAGGGTCCACTGGGTAGATCCCTCCTTATGATGGTCAGTAAATGTCAGATACACATTGCTCCCTGCTATACTGCTTAAGTTAAACTCCTTTGGCTCCCAGAACCATTGTTCTCCCATGTTAGTGCTCCCACATACATAACAGTTTGTCACATTCAGAGGGAGCTATCCTC